GTCTTGTTGGGAGAAATCCATTTTGATTCATCTATTATTTTATACCATTCTGCTGGATGTTCCTATAGTACTCTAAGATATTTGCTACTATTCTGTTTTTATTCCTGATTTGTCTTGTTGGGAGAAATCCATTTTGGTCTGGATGTATATAGCCATTTAATAGTTTTTTCAGTCTCTCTGCTATTATTGTTGTGAATATTTTATAGTCAGCATTCAACAACGAGATTGGCCTATAGTTTTGGATTTTTCTTTTAAAGACGTTTCACTTCTCCAAGAAGCTTCTTCAACTCTGACTGGATGGCAGGGAAACAGATCATGAAAAAGAGATCGTGAAGAGGATGTGTAGTTTGGGGTTAATTTCTTGTCCTCAGCTGGAGCGAAGGACGGGAGCTCAACCCCGCCTCACGACAGCAATTCTTTTTTTTTTTTTTTTTTTTGAAGATATTTAGCTTCTCATCCAAAAAGCTTCTTCAGCTCTGACATGATTGGGTGGGTGAGGGGGGGGATGATAGGATTTTTATTCCTTGCAGACAGCTGGTCATTTGCATCCTTTTAGAGCAGTGATGGCTGCTTATGGCGTGCCACAATTGTGCACAAATGCACACGTGCCCATATCAATTCAATTTCCCCCACCCATCTGAGCATGTGTGTGTGACACCACCACCACCCCGCTCCCCTATGCATATGTTCACGACCCTTCCCCAGGCTTTGGAGGCCTTCCTGAAGCCTGGGGAAGGGAGAACGGCCTCTCCCCCCCAGTCCCCTGGAGGCCTTCTGGAAGCCGGAAATGAATCATTTTCGAACTTCCGGTTGGCCTGTTGGAGCCTTCTGGATGCTGGTTAGGGCGAAAAACAGCCCCAATGGGCCAACCAGAAGTTCAAAAACAATCCGTTTCTGGCTTTCAAGGGCCCAGGGGAGGCCATTTTTGCCCTCCTCAGCGTCCAGAGCCTTTCCTGAAGCCTGGGGAGGGCGAAAATGGCTACCCCTGGCTCTCCGGAAGTCCAAAAATCAGCTGGCTGGCACACACATGCGCACCGGAGCTGATGACTGGCGTGCCAGCGAATATGGCTCCGCGTGCCACGTGGCATGCATGCCATAGGCTCTTCACAGTTTTAGAGGGTTGTTGAAACACTTGGAGGTTTATCTGTGTCCTCAGGGTCATCTGAGTAGTGCTTAGTGTAGTCTGCAAAATATATATATATTCCTCCTCTGGGAATCCATTCCTATTCCCACACCATTCGAAGGGTATCCATACCGAATTGTATAGCTAAATGTCTGTGGAGATTCTCAGTCATCCTGGTCATGGCTGTCCCAAAGGGGCTTTCTCAAGGAGCAACTGGACTTCCTTGTTTTTTCTTCGAAGGCGTTTCGCTTCTCACCCAAGAAGCTTCTTCAGCTCTGACTGGATGGTGGGGAATGGAAGGATTTATGCTCCTTGCAGACAGCTAGTCAGTTGCATCCTTTTATTGAAGTCACTTGGAAGTTTATGTGTCCTCAAGATCACTTGAGTGATGCCTGTATCTCAAACTGAAGCATTTCTCTCCCCCCCCCCTCCTGATTTCTATTTTCCTGGAAATCCGTTCATGTTCCCACACCATTTCGAAAAGCACCTCTGGGACTTGAAACCAGTTGCGGGGTTTGCAATGTGGCACATTTGAGTTTAAGGTGAGGCAGATGTAAGGTCTCCAGCTTGGGACGGGGGTTGGACTAGATGACCTGCAAGGCCCCTTCCAACTCTGTGAATCTTTTGATCTGTTAACTCAGCCCTTGGCTGCCTGCCTAAAGAGGCAGCAGGCGTGAAAAGAAATGAGAGGTGTATTGGCCAGGTGTGCGTCTCTAGAGTGAGATTTTGAGCGTGAGCTCAATGCCACTTTATTTCTCTCTCGGTTTTTTTCCCCCCCTTCAGAATTTCCACAGCCAATTCAAGGAGATGGCAAGCGTTCTTGAGACGTTTTGAATTATGCTCCAGCCTCCCCTTGCCTCCTAAAAGATTGTTCTACAGAAGGATTCTCCAGAAAGAGGTGTAGGTTTATTCTTCTTTTGGGCTTTCCAGCATGATGTTCTCCAGCTGAAGAGCTTCAAAACTCTCCTGCGCTGAGTGAAATTCTCCATACGAATCCTCCTCCTGAAAGGGACATCCTGTTTTCACCCCAGAATTTAGGTGGAACCCATCTCACCCATTCAGAAGAAGACCAGAAGAGTGGCTGCGTAGGAGAAATAAACCCCATCATGTCCCAAGAACTACTCAAGATGTGCCTTTTTAAAGGTCTTGGTTCTCCCCATCTCTGCAACTACAACAATATTGGGAAAGCACTGGTATTGTCACCCTCTAGAACTCTGCATGGATAATCCTACCGATCCAGAAGGCAACCTTTAATTCCTTAATAAAAGGATGGGGAATATGTGAGGCTGTTCTTGGTATCTTCCAGCTGCCTTTGTTCGGCCAATTTTGGGTTGGGTGTTTCACCACCCAAGGTAAGGACCTTTCTTAATCACTGGTCCAAGCTGATCAACCAGAATAAGTTAATTGATCACATTTTATTTCACAAACCACATTGGTCAGGTTATGTAGTACCCTAACCTCAGACATAAAAAGCCAGTTTGGTGCAGGTGCCCACTAGAGCCTGGGTGAGCATGAGTTCTAGTCCTGCCTTTGGCACAAAACCAGCTGGGTTACCTTGGGCCAGTCCTTCTCTGTCAGAAGGAGGAAGCAGCAGGGGAGAATGAAGAGGGAGGGAGGGGGAAAGGAAGGAAGGAAGGAAGGAAAGGAAGTGGGAAGGAAGAAGGAGGGGAGGGAGGGAGGAAGAAAGGGAGGGGGAAGGAAGGGAAGGAATTGGGAAAGAAGGGAAGGAAGAAGGAGGAAAGGAAGGAAAGAAGAGGGAGGGAAGGAAGGAGAGGGAGGGAAGAAAGGGAAGGAGTAAGGAAGGAAACAGGAAGAGGGAGGGAAGGAAGCAGAGGGAGAGAAGGAAGGGAGGAAGAAACGGACAGAGGGGAAAAGGAAGAGAGAAGGAAGGAAAGATGGAGCGAAGGAAGGAAGGAAACAGGAAGAGGGAGGGAAGGAAGCAGAGGGAGAGAAGGAAGGGAGGAAGAAACGGACAGAGGGGAAAAGGAAGAGAGAAGGAAGGAAAGATGGAGCGAAGGAAGGAAGGAAACAGGAAGAGGGAGGGAAGGAGAGGGAGGGAGGAAAGGAAGGAGAGGGAGGAAAGGAAGGACAAACAACTCCTGAAAAACCTTACCAAGAAATGGCCCAAGCAATTGTCAGGAGACACCACTGACTCAACTGGACAAAAGAGGGATTAAAGGCATGGAGTTTTGTGTAATCACCAGTGTTATTTTTTAATAACAGTTAACTGAAAAAGAAATTCTTTGGCTCACTGCATGCCAAGAAAAGGGTTCCCTCTGTCGTTGGCTTGCTGTCGCCATTGAGTTATTTCCACCAAAGGGCGGGTGGGGGGGGACACAAAGAAATTTTCAACATGCAGAGAACATCTCTGCATTTTTAGAAAGCAGCAGCTCTATTCTTGTCATAGCAACAGCACTTAGACTTGTATACCGCTTCATAGTGCTTTTACAGCCCTCTCTAAGCGCTTTACAGAGTCAGCCTCTTCCCCTCAACAATCTGGATCCTCATTTCACCCACCTTGGAAGGATGGAAGACTTGAGTCAACCTTGAGCAACCTGGTGAGATTCCACCTGCTGAACTGCAGCTAGCAGTCAGCTGAAGTAGCCTGCAGTACTGCACTCTAGCCACTGCGCCACCTCCGCTCTTGTCATGAGGTTGGTTGGTTTTTTCATGAGACATAAATAAAACATCTCCCGAAAGCCAAGGTTTTGGTCAGTAAAAACAGCAGGATATGCCTGGGTGGGCAGGCAGTGGTTCTGAGTTGCTGCAACAGGCAGGCAGACCCTTCTAAGGTATGTCTCCCACCCACCCCAATCCTGGGCAAGAACCCAACAGATGCTTTGTCCTGCTTCTCACCATCTAAATGCAAACTTCTCTGGGCTGGCAGTTTCTCCTCGGTGCCCTTGAGAATGGCTTCCCCAGGTAGCAAAAGACCAATGGATTAAAGCCGAAAAGGAAACCGGATGAAATTAAGGAAGGGCCTTGGGAAATGGGGCAGGATCTGAATTCTCAGATGGGGAGATGGGAGAATAGCAACCGCTCCAAAGACTTTGGATTCCAGCTGTCAAAGTCTCTCGAACCCCTAATAAACTTCAGGGGCGTCATATTGGCTTTCACACCAATCACCAGCTACAACTTCAAATTCAGGTTTAAAGGGTCCCCCGCCCAGACCCCCCCCCTCCCTGCCTTTCAGGATAATCTCATCTTTCCTAGAGGGTAAGTAGAAGGGGAGCCCAGAGTTTCCTCCTTTGGAGTTTTTTCCCTCTTGAAAAGTGATAGGAGTGGATGGCCTCGCCCACCTTTCTTTCTGGTTTTCAGTTGTTTTACATTGCTGAGTCTTGACACTGAGTCACAAATGGATTTGGGGATATTATAAAACAAAAGGAGGTTCTTGTATGTTTACCCTGACTGAAAAGTTACCCTATCTGTTTGTTTCCTAATGTAATTCCTTCTTCCATCCCTCCCTCGCTTCCTTCTACTACCCCTCTTCTTCCTTCCTCCCTCCCACTGCCCCTCTCTCCTTTCTTCCTCCATCCCTCCTTCCTTCTCTTCCCCTCTCCTCCTCCCTCGATTCTACTGCCCCCTCTCTCCTTTCCTTCCTTCCTTCCTTCCTTCCTTCCTTCCTTCCTTCCTTCCTTNGATATCTGCAAAACTTGGCAAGGAATCTCGGAGAGTCACAAACCAATTAAGCAAACTAATTGTCTCCTGCAAACTTCATTCCCCTTTCTCTCCTCTTTTATTTCCTCTGGGAGGGGCCATTCATCGTCCACCTGTGGCCTTACTCCCAAGTCGATCCCTGTTCTTTAGCTATTCCCTTTGTCTGGCAGCTCTGTGTATGCGCACACTGGGAACAGGCTCCAGCTGTTTGTCTGCCTTACTGATGTCTGATTCTGAAGGCAGCTGATAACTGGCATATGGCTCTGACCCGCTCTCTGCCTCTGACACAGAGCCCTCATCAGCCTCCAGGACTGGCCCATGTTTCTCCCCAACCTCCTGACTGTTCAAGTCTGCTGCCAGCTCTGCTGGCGGGCCACAACCCTTCCATGGTGGAAGGTGCCTTCCCAGTCTTGTTCCAACACTACAGGTGGTCCTTGACTTACAACTCCTTTAGTGACTGCTCAAAGTTACAGCAGCACTGAAAAAAAGTAACTTATGACCGTTTTTCCACACTGAACCTTTCTAGCTGCATCCCTACAGTCACGTGATCAAAATTCAGACTCTTGGCAACTGATTCATATTTATGACGGTTGCAGTGTCCCGGGGTCATGTCTGATCCCTTTTTGCGACCACCTGATGAGCAAAGTCAATGGGGAAGCCAGATTCACTTAACAACCATGTCCCTAACCCAACAACTGCAGTGATTCACTCTGACAGCGACGGCACGTAAAACGGGGGAAGAATCCACTTAGCAAATGTCTCACTTAGCAACAGAAATTTGGGGTTCAGTTGCAGCCGTAAACCAAGGACTTTGCCCATAATCCCTGACCCTCCTGCCTTCCTAGAGGAACAGCTTCAGCTAGGCCTAGAGATCTTGAGGCTTTTCACTGAGTCCTGTTTGGGAATCTAGACTGGTATAAATCATATTTGAAAAATAAATCATATTTTTTTACAAAAATTCCACCTCTTCTGAAATTGAGCCTGTCAGATATTAAAAATCAGCACATGCCACTGTGGAAAAGATCATTTTCCAATTTCATCCCCAGAACAACAATCTTGGGAATTAAATTTGTCTGATAGTGTAGGGACTAAATCCTCGGATAAGGACTCCAGGGATAAAAGTCTCTGAGTGGGTCGCTCTCCCTCCTCCATCGATGTACCTTCAAGTACAGATAGTCCTTGAGTTACAACATTCTGCTTAGTGACCGTCCAAAGTTAAAGTGGCGCTGAAAAATGTGACTTAATGATTGTTTTTCCCAGTTACCACCTTTGCAGCATCTTCATGATCGTGGGATCAAAATTCAGGCACTTGGCAACTGGTTCATATTTATTTATTTACTAGCTGATAAACCCGGCGTTGCCCAGGTATTTATTTATTCTAATGCTATATTAGACAGGAAAAGGAATGAATTGTATCTATAGTGTGAAGTTAAAGTAATTCACTATAGATATAATTGATTCCTTTTCATTTCAGCGGCCCAGGCATTCCAGAGTTATGGTCTGGAACACACAGACAGAGACACATACGAACCTGAATCCAAAATGCACACTATACACTATCACTGTCGAAAGTACTGTGATTTGACACTATAAATATAATTCATTCCTTTTCATTTCAGCAGCCCAGGCGTTCCAGAGTTATGCTGGAACACACACACACAGACACACACAGACATACCGAGGCGTGTTAGGGGTGCCTTACCCCCACGGTATTTGTTTCCAGAGAGTAAGTCATCTGTGCACCAAGTTTAGTTGAAATTGCTCGCAGCATTCCAGAGTTACCCTGGAACATACAAACAGACAACCATTTATATAGAGAGAAAGATTTATTAATTATTATTATTACATATTTTATGACTGCTGCTTATGCGACCTGGCAAGCAAAATCAATGGGGGGAAGCCAGATTCACTTAACAACCGGGTACTAACTGCGGCGAGTCACTGTGGCACAAAAGGCTGTAACATGCAACAAAATTCACTGAATGGATGTTTCGCTTAGCAACAGAAACTTTGGGCTGAATTGTGGTCGTATGTCGAGGGCCGCCTGTACCTCACATGTTCTTTTCTTCCGTTGCAGCTGATTGATTTTCAGTGGAAGCTGGGAATTGCCATGAGTGCCGACAGCTGTAAATCCTTGAAATCGCCTTGTGTGACGGTGGCGTTAAAAGTTGCCGATAGTTTGGGGAACATCACACAAAAAAGCTTTGAAATGACAATCGCTCAGTTCCAGGTTGGTAAACAGTCCTTCCTGGTCTCTGCTCTTTTACAATAGCAAAGTTGGAAGGGACCATGGAGATCTTCTAGTCCAACCCCCGGCCTAGGCAGGAAACCCTATACTGTTCCAGACAAATGGCTATCTAACATCTTCTTAAAGACTTCCAGTGTTGGGGCATTCACAACTTCTGGAGGCAAGTTGTTCCACTGATTAATTGTTCTAACTGTGAGGAAATTCCTCCTCAGTTCTAAGTTGCTTCTCTCCTTGATTAGGGAGTGTATAGTCCATATTCTTTTACGTCTTTTTTGTATCTCGATTGTAGTTGGAGATATGGCCACCAATCTATATTTATATTTTGCTCCTTTAATTCTGGATTTGTTTTCAAATTCCCTTGGATGTCTAAGATTTATGGACCTGGGTACTTGANCCCGGGGACACTGAAACTGTCATAAGCATGAGACAATTGCCAAGCATCAGAATTTTGAACCCATGACTATGGGTACGCTGCTATGGTCCTCAGTGTGAAAAATGCTCAAACAAGTCACTTTTTTTCCAGGGCTGTCGTCCCTTTGAATGGTCACTAAATGAACCGTTGTAAGTCGAGGACTACCTGTGCCCTGTAAATATTTCTCTGTGGGTAGATAAAAAGTTGCCACCGATCTTCCCAACCGCTGGGAGAGCCCAAAAGGTTTACCAAAGTCGATTTTATCCCTGTTGTTCGCAATGGCGTGAATGAGGCCGATGGTTCCACAGGCGTTGCTAATGGTCTGCTTCATAAAATAGACGCCGGATTTGACTTCTTGGCCTTTGGCTTTGATTGTCTCTTCCTCTTTCATCCGGAATTTTTCATACTAGGAAGCGAGTAAGGGAAGATATTTTTTTTCACATTCCCCTTTTTCAAAGCATCCATTTTTACAAAATAAACAGCACTCATCAAAGAAAGAAAGAAAAAAAAAAACCCATTCAGACCCTGGGAATAAAGTTTGTTCTAAGTCATTTATCAACTAGAACGTTGGTGGCCTGGTGGTGAAGACTTGCTTGCCTCCCCCCTTGGAAAGTTGAGAGTTTAATCCTAGGTAGCGGCAGATATTTTTCTTCTAGAGCGCAAAGAAAAAATATATTGCTGCCAACTCCGGGCAGGTGTCAGGAAGGGCATCCGGCCAGCAAATGCTCAGTTCCATCCAGTCGACCCCAAATTAAAGGATTACAGGGGTCATAAAAAGGAATGTTTTTTTTAAATTCATCAACTAGAAGGTTCTGCAGGGTTTGCAATGCCCTCCCTTGGTTTGCACCCAAAATGCCCATCAAATGCACATTTCTCCCACTTTCCTTGTGATGTGCCATCTTGCTAGGGAAAAAAACCACCTTGTTTCCGGAACACTAGAAAAAGGCCATTTTTAACAATTCAGTTTCTATGGAGATTTGTAGATTTGTAGATTTTATTAATATTTGTAGGCCGCCCTTTTCCCTGAGGGGACTCAGGGCGGCTCACATAAAATCAGG